CCTTGAGAGTGTTACCTGGACTGCTGAAGAAAGCGAGAGCTTTAACAAGCTACAGGATATGACCTTGGGTGCTGAGAGAGCTACCTCGCACTACCTTGACCGTGTGACCTCGACGATGAGTGTTGAAGCAGCTACTACCTTGACAATGCTACCGTTATCATGTGTACCGAAGTGACAGAGCAGCTGAAAAAGTGGCGGCGAGTACGGAACATCATATCTCGTCGTGCTGCTGAGCTGGCCAGATATGCAGGTGTGACTCGAAGCAACAATACTCCCAGGGAACCTGTTGTCGCCCTCATCAAGGTGGTAGTACTATGCCCTCACGGTGCCACAACAACAACAATTCCCTCAAGGTACTACTAGCTAGCAATGCTCTCAGGGTGCCACAACAACAACAACAATTCCCCCTCAAGGTACCAGCTAGCAATGCTCTCAGGGTGCCACAACAACAACAACAATTCCCCCTCAAGGTACTAGCTAGCAATGCTCTCAGGGTGCCACAACAACAACCGATTCCCCCTCAAGGTACTAGCTAGCAATGCTCTCAGGGTGCCACTACAACAATAATAGGAATCTCATCCTCGAGGTAGTACTGCCCTCAAGGTAGCAGAAATGCTCTCAACACGGTGCCACAACGATTCGTCCTCAAGGTAGTAATGGCAATGCTCTCCGGGTGCCACAACAACAAAAATAAGACAGCACATAGTTTAGGGGTTTCGGAATTATTCCAAGGGCCAGCAGAAAGTTTATGGGTAGGTGTTGGCTGCTTTGTTAAGAAATTATTGTACAGAATCATGAGGCTTCAGTTTTAGGAGTTGGTGGTTCGATCGATAAGGATCCAGCCTTTCAGCTTGGAGGAAGAAGTACTAAGTACTCTGTCGTGGCAAAGGCTTTCCTAGCAGAGGGTTTTTCGGTCTCGGGTTTTGCATCTGCATCCCTACTACAAGCGAGAACCCAAGCCCCTAATCGTTTGAAACCCTAAACCCCTGAAGCCCCAAAACTCCAATCTCCTGCAGCCCTAAAAACCTGAAACCCCAAACCCCCTAAACTCCTAGCCTTTAGGGTTCAGTGCTTAGGGTTTAAAAAGCTTGGCTCAGGGGTCGCTTTTTTTGCTCCTCCACCAGCTCTATCACTTGTTCGGCTTTTTTGTTGCCGTCTTCTTGCTTGTCATAGTAGTCTTCATTGCCTTCATGGCCGTCTTCTTGCTTTTCATAGTAGTCTTCATTGCCTTCATGGCCGTCTTCTGGTGCCGTTTTGCCGTCTTCTTGCTTTTCATAGTAGTCTTGGCCTAATGCTGGCGGCTGGAGCTTTATTAGGAATGTCTGCAGATTTACGGCTTTAGGAATGACGTGTGCACGGCTCCTCGGTCTCATTCTTCTTTTTTTCGTGCGAACGAGCAAACGGTGCAATCAGGAGGCCCGACAACAAGGCCTCACGACCGTCGCTGAAAAACAGATTGGCATGCACTGCCATCATCCTAACAACTAGTGGCGGTGGTAGTAGTAGCACGGTAGTCTTTAGTAGTAGTAGTAGTAGTAGACGATAATATGAATAAGAGATTGGACTGGACATAGAACAATGGCAGGCAATGCAGCAGGAGGAGCACCAATTGTACTGGTGTTGTTGTTGTTGTTGTTGTTGGGCCCAACATCTGCAAATGGTGATGATGTCAGGGCTCAGGCTTCAAGTTATTTTGCACCACAGGAGCAGGTAAGGATCTCGGCTATTAGTATGATGAGTGCAGTCTTATTAGAGTATTCACCACCAAGAAAGCAGAGCCCCTAGCGATTGATAAATCATCCACGGGTCATGGCCACGGCTTTGACCGTCCAACAACCCTTCAGCTGCCAGAGGAGGAGGCCGCCTTCAGACGGCCTTTGGCCGCTTCCACATCCTCCAAAAACTTCTGGGTCTCCGTCGCCACACGGAGCATGAACTCGTCGAAGGAGGCTTTCGATAGGGTCGTAGAGCCATCGGGGTGCTCCTTGAAATGCACGAGGTGCTTCATGTCAGCCTGGTTTTGGGTGCTCTTCACATAGTTCGCTTTCAAGGACTTCCAGTTCTCGGGCGAGGTGTGCTCCAGCCTTAGCAATAATACTGGAGAAGGCTTGATAAGGGGTGTCATTTATGTTTTGGTTTAGGCTTCAGGACTCAGGGTTATTATCATGCAATAATAATCCTTAACATGGCTATCTCGGGGTGTGTGTGCTTCTTTGGCCAAAAAAAACATGCAGGCAGCACTTATTACTACCCCAGAATATATAATACACACAACAAACTATGAATCGCAAAACCCAGTAGCTTCGGAATGAGCTTCAAAGCATCGGCTTGCATCTTCGTCTGGGCATCGATGGCTTCATTGAGAAGGCCCGACATGGAAGCGGGGAGCTTCCCAGACTCAATTTTCTCATGGTTCCTGTAGCTGAACTTCCACCCAAGGGAACTATACATGTCAGCCAAAAGATCTGCCGCCTGAGCATTGGGCCGACTTTGGCGAGTCAGCTTGGACTTGTGATTCGTCCCAGTCTCTTTCCCGGTCTCGAGCTTCCTGTAGGCGAAGTACTTGACCTTGCTGTTCGGGTTGGTCGGGTCCTCCACCTCCTGGATATCGCCGCAATCAAGTGCAGCCTGAAAGGCCGTTTCTGAGTTTTGAAAATACAAGCCTTTCATCACGGACCTCGGATAGGCCAGGGCACGGTCCTTGGAGTATTTTCGCTCGTAAAGCTCCTTGGCTTCGGTGAATAGCGGCTTGTCGTCCCGTAGCTGGAAACGTCCATTGGCCTTCCGTTCGAACAGGGAGTTTATGACCTGTGTTCTGAAGTCCCGTGGACTGGATTTGGACTTTGCCACCTCGTTGTAAAGGTGCTTGATGTGGGGCGGCAAGCTATCCGACCTGAGCATGGCCGCGAACTTCTCCCCTTTCCCCTTGTCCCGAGCACTATCGCCCGCATCTTCGTCGCTCGGCAGCTCCTCCTCATCCTGCTGCTCCTCCTCGCACCCGGCCTTCATCTTCCCGATCGTAGCCTTGAGACCTCCTGCCGCCGCCGGCTTCTTCATTGTTTCCACAAACTTGCCCTTCTTCGCAATAATCCTCGCCGTCTCGTCAGCAGAAGGCCTCTTGAGCATCTTCGATTGGGCCGGCATGTTGTTGACAACCACAACAACAACAACAGAACGACGAGGCACCGAAAGGATCACCCGGTCTTGAGGCTGCAGCCACCACCCCAGACAAGAAGTGCTCTCAAAGGTGCAAGCCCAAGGTAACCCAGCATAACTCTCGACAGCAGACGAAGTTGTTTGGGGGTAGCAGTAGTAGTAGTAGTAGTNNAGCAGTAACAATAATAATAGTAGTAGTAGAAGTACGGACTATTGGTGGCCTAAGAAGTCCATAAGAACAAGTATCCTCCTACCCTGGTATCCATGCAATAAAGTATAAAGCCCCTAGTTTATGATTCGCAAGCAGCCAACAACGGCTTAGCCGAAGTTTTTTTAATCGGAGGTTCATAATGAAAGATGGTATAATAGGCTTGTCCTCAAACAACGACTCTCCTGCCTCAAGCTGTGGAAGCACAGCTAAAATATAGGATCCATAGTAGGCATGATCTAAGTTTAGCATGATCTAGGTACAATTAATGTTCAGAGCCGCCTAGATACAACTATAACCCAAGTCGAAGTTTATCCGAAGTTTTGTCGAAACTTCGGAATTCGAAGTTTGCAAACTTCGAGTTACAAGTCGAAGTTTAGAAGGGGCTAAGTCGAAGTTTATGGTGTGGATGTTGTGCAAAACCCTGTGTTTATGCAAATCGCAAGTCGAAGTTTCGACTTTAGTGGGTTTAAACTTCGGATAAACTCCTTATAAACTTCGAGTAAACTTCGGATCGTGAATGTCGAAGTTTCGAAGAAACTCCGGACAAACTTCGGATTATGAACATCGAAGTTTCGACGAAACTGCTGGTAAACTTCGGGTTGAATATGCCTCGATCGATAGGTCATGGCTGGGTCACTCAAGGTTTTGTACTCTCTGCTGTCGCAAAGTCAGTGCCGGCAACCCAGGATCTCGCGAAGTCAATGCCGGCAAGCCAGGAGCAGCAGCTCCACACATGTGCCCCCGTTCCACCGGCCAGGAAAACCGTCGCAGCGAAATCCAGGCATCTAGTCCACCACTGGATCCACGGCCTTTGGCGACTCTTCTTCGCCACCTTCTTGCTGCTCGCCATCATCATGCACCGGCACTGCTGCCATCGCAACAGCAGCCGCCGAGGAAGAAGCCACCTCCT